ATGGATTTTTAGATGGATTTCTTTGCCAAAAAAGGGAGCTCCATGCAGGTAGCTCTTAAAAGCTGACGGCATGGTGAGCGGCATAGGCAGGCACACGGCGGCAAGGACAGACAGGCAGCAGCAAGGACAGACATACAGACCGTCTCCTGCTGCCCACAGGTGTTCAGACTGGCTGGTTGGGAGCCCTTTTGGGATCTCTGGTGTGACAGAGAGGGTCTGATACGGCTTTGTCTGATGGTGGTGTTTTGAAGGTGGTGGAGGAGGTGGCCATCACTTGGGTCACGTATTGGGGAATACCCACTTTTAGGCTTTTTCTATAAAAAAACACAACCATCACCCCAACAAATTCAGGTCTTCCCCCTGCCCAGAGCCCCCCTTCGGAAGCACGGCCTGCCCCCAGAAAATGGCCACCTTGCGGCCTGCAGCCTGGGGCAGCCCCGCGCCGCAGGCCGGGGCCTGCATGGAGCTCGGGGGACACCGTGCGACAGCAGGGCACAACTGCAGGCCTGCCAGACGGCTGGGTTTTTTGTTTGTTTTTGCTTTTTGTTTTCCAGCTGTTCCACCTCATCCCTTCCTCTTGCCAGAGGGGAAAGCATCGAGGGACTCGAGGCCACCTCGAAAATGGAGTTGGATTTTTGTTTGCTCCTCTGCCTCAGCATGGGGACACGGTGGCACGTCGACACACACAGGGGCTGAGCATCACTCCTCCCACCCCAAGGGCACCCTGCTGCTGCGAGCAGGGAGAGTGTCCAGGAGGAAGACGATGGTTGGGAGATGAAGGACTGGAGCACTATTGGGGTCCCAAATGGAGGGGTCTCTGTGACACTGGGGTTCGCAGTGGCCGACCTGTGTGACCACACACCACAGGGTTTGGCAGCAGCCAGGTGACACCGCTGGGCCCTCCCGGCTGTGGTGACCCTGCAAAAAGGATCAGAGATGCCAGAGCAAGCATGGCTACAATTAGCCACCTACATCGTTACGAAGAAGCTCGGCTGCTGGTGGGCAGGGGGCCAGGCACTGCTCCTCACCCAGCCTGGTGGCCCCAGCGGGTTGGGGCAGGAGAAGCAGGAGGCCGGGGGACAGCAGCAGCCAGTGCTGCCAAGGTCACCGCAGCTCAGCAACGGGAGCCCGAAGACAAACGGAAAAATCCAAGCGAGATGCAATAATTGCACACGGCTTGGCCTCAGGCAAGGAATAACCTTGCAAACTCTATTTAAACCCTCCTTTCCTCTCCACCTCCCCATCAAGTGCCTATTAAAAATAATATTTTTTTAGAAAATAAGAAAGCACCACATCTGTTGCCATATGAAACAGCATTCAGACCCCTGGGTCACAGAGAACCCCTCTCACTGATGGGGTGAGTACTCCCTGGCAGTGCTCAGTGGGGGCTCAGTAGGATCACCCACCCTACCAGCCCTGGCCTCAAACAGGCTGCAGGGCTGGGGGACAAGCAGCCCCGAGGGAGCCAGCTTGGCCCTGGGGTTCAGAGCGATGCTTGGCAGCTGCTGTGGAGCTCTCAAAGCCCCAGGGATGCAAGGAGAAAATAAGAACAGCATCACTTTTATGTGTGTGTGTGGACATGCATACATATGCAGTGTAAATAATGATTATGCTATAATGTATAATAGAGTTATTGCAAATAATTTTAATAGTTAATACATATGTAACAAGTATGTATATAAAATCTGTTACAAACATAATTAGCATATGTGATTAGACTATAATGTTTAATAGAGCAATTATATTTGCATCTGATTGTAGTAGTTAATAGGCATAGATTTATATGTGTTTACGTGTGAGTGTGTATGTGATACCTACACACATATTCACAGACGAGACTCCCTCCCCATACAAGAGGAGCCCCTTCCCTTCCCACAATGTGAGCTTTCAAGGAAATGTGGCTCAGCAGCTAACGGAGCCAGCCTCATCCTCTGCACGTCGCTACCTTCACAGCTCGCTCCGGCCTTCAGCATGCGGCGGGCGCGCTGCCCGTGCTGGGATGCTTCGTGCTGCGGAGCTGCCAGCCCCGTCCCTGGTGACCCATCTGAAATCATCGCATTTCTCCATCCAGCGCAACACAACTGAGCTTCAGTGATGGGGAGCGTTCCTTCCCGAGCTCGCTGTGCACCGCAGATTGGGTTGTTTACCAGCTGGAGGATTAAATAGACCTCCATTGAAGGGGAAAAAAAATGTTTTCAAGTATGTCTTGGAAGTGGTGTCTCGCTTGAAGGAGGCTTTTCAGACTTGCTTGTTTGCTGGCTGGCACTTCACTCGTCCCTGGTGAGGATGCAGTGTCTCAAACAAAGTAGTTTTTCTGGAAAAATACTGTACTAGGATGAGGGCAGTGAGTAGAAGCTGGGGAGAGGCAGATAAATCCTTCAACTGTCCCTGAAAGCAAACCCCTGCTCTCCTCTCCCTACAGCAGGTGACAGCCCCTTCTTTGCCTGCCAAAGGACACCCAACCTTTCTCCCCAGCACTGCCAGGATCTCCCCAAGGCCACCCCAGCACCAGGACAGGCACCCAGCTCCTCCCAACCCCAGCACCCTTCCTCAGACCCCCTCCCAAAACATGGGTATGAACCCAAAATTTAGTTTACTGGGGAGCAACTAACAGCTGGTCTCAGCTGTTAGTTGCTCCCCAGGATTAGTGGTCTAATCCTCACTGCTATTACAGCATGAAACAAAACAAAAGGGAAAAAATAAAAATAAAATAAAAACATTTTACAGCTTTTCACTGCCTCCTCCTATGGCCCAGATCAGCTGGCTGATGGCTGCACCGAGCTTGGAGGAGCCCAAGGCATTTGTTTTTTAATTTCTGCTTTATTCAAAACCAGCCAGTCTGTGCCAAAACTCCACATTTGTTCTTTTTTTTTTTCCCCACAGAGATTAAAATAAGGTGAGACTCTACTGGGACCTTGTAGCATTTGATGGATTTCTCAGTCCAGGGCAAGTGCAGAGCTCAGCAGGACAGGTCAGCTGGCGAGCAGTGAGACAGGAGCGCTCCTCTCCCACCTCCTCCTGTTTAAGGAAATTGCTTATTTGGGAGCCGTGAGGAATAAATACAAATAAAAGCCACCATCAGCTCAAATGGCGTACAGGTGGAGGTGATGGGGTAGCACAAACCAGCCAAACCCTGGGTACATTAGTGATGTAGACACACAGCAGCAGAGACATCAGGCCCACTGCTAGCAGTGACCTTCCTGCTGGGTTGGATTAAAGAGAAATCACTCCGTGATGTCTGTTCCCCATCTGGGCTCTGCTACCCACACGGGTTTGCTCTGAAGCCATGTGAATTTTATGGAGGAAAAAGGATGTAAGCAACATCTCCCAGAACCTCCCGCAATGAAATAACCCCAGGCAAACGCTCCAGGTAGCACAAAACCAGGTGGGGTGAGCTGGGACTTACTGAAGGTCTTAAAATCAAGGATCCTGCATGTGTTTAAACCCCACATCACTAATGGGAGGGAAATGCTGTTACCTTTGCAACCCTGGGTGCACAAGTGTGATCAAAGCTCTCAAGGCTTCCTGCACATCACTGCCCATCCCAGGGAAGGCTGGCGGTGGTGTCTGGGAGGAGCAGGCCCAGATGTAGTTTCGGGAACACTAATCCAGGACTTGCTCCAGGGTTACATGTAGCCTTTGTTAGCAAGGGCCCTTTCTCATTTGTGCAGAGAAAGAAAGAAAAGGAGGAAGGAAAAAGAGTAAACAGACTGAATAGCCAAAGAGCTAGCCTTTCGCTGCCCCTGAATTAAAAAAAAAAAAAAAGAAAAAAAAAAAAAAAGGAAAAAAAAATCCCTTTATTGAAACCATTTCCTTTGGTTATATCATTTCTCTTGAGCCTGGAAGCAATTTTCAGTCTTAAGCACTCCGCGCACTAAGTGCACAGGCAGGAGGCTGATGCTTGGCTGCCCACCAAGTGGCCCCCCGAGGACAGTGAGTCTCATGGGGACCCTCGTGACACCCAGACATCGCTCACACCCCCAGCACCTCCTGTAATGGGGGGCTCAAGCCCAGCCTGGGCAAGGTGCAGTGCAGGTCACCCCATCCCAGCTGGGCAGCACAAGTAGGACACAGATGGCCTCTATTACGTGTTCCCATTCGTGTCCTCTGTCAACAGTTACAACCACAACAAGCCGAGCTCTGCCCAGAAATCCCCCGAAGAAGGGACGCACCCGTGCCAGGGCTTTGTTGGAGCTGTATGGCAGTGGAGCAGCTGAGTGCTGGGCTCTGGGAATTGATGCTGGAGGAGGTGACTGGGCCACCTCGCAGGAAAGCAGCTCTCTGAGGCAGCAGGGACATGCAGCAAGGTGGGGAAGAGAAAGGCTGGTGCTGGGGCAGGAGGAGTTATTTGCCAGGACTGCTCAAGCCAGTGCCAAATTGGCACTAATAAAAGTGCACAAAATAAAACACTAAGCTGAAGTTATTAAAATATGTATGTATCTTTTAGTGCAGCTCCCTCAAACTGGGACTGGCAATCAGACACTTGCTTTGTTTTCCATGCAAGCCCCCACAGCCACCGCTGCTGCTGCAGTTATCGCAGGTGCTCAGGGCTGACCGTGCCTGGGCTGCAGCAGGAGATAAAACAGCGAGGCCCACGGTGGTGGAGAGGGTGCCCCAAATGCTGTCACGTCCCCACCATGTCCCCACACATGCTCCCCAGCTCAGTTGGTGCGGGGTTATTTACCCTTCAAATCTAAAAAAGGAAGAGGAGGCTGGGAAAGGAGGGGAACAACAGCTTGGTTTTGTCCAGGGAGCGCTTTTCCCCACTCCTGGTCTCCCAGCAATGAACAGCTTTTGCCATTAGGGACCCTCAGCCACCGTCAACCCTGTGCAGAACCCCAGCCCCACAGCAGTACCAGGAGCCAAGAAAATGCCCAAGGCAAGCAGGCACTCAACACAGCTCAAATCCAGATGTTGAAGGGCTAGTGGGTCCTCAAACAAGGTGACTGTCTCCTAGCAGGAAGAGCCATGGCAAGAAAAACATCCTCAAATCCACAGCATTCCATTTTTTTTAACCACTTTATTTGTGTGTGTTTCTATAAACGTTTTAACTACTGGACATTTCATAAACCGTAAAAACAAAACCAGCCCTCCTACCCCCAAAATGCACTCAAATCAGCTTGTTGGTCAGACAACAGCAACGCTGCTGGCTTAGGTAGGTGGTATCCCTAGATAACCTCCTGCTGGGCGCAAGCCAGCGAGACACTCACTCCCTGAGCATCTGAGCGACAGAGAGGAGATGAGTTTAAAGACCTGGATGCTCTCCTCCTCCAGGGAAAGGGGGCAAATACAATATTTTCCTGGATGGCAAGTCAGAGCTGGACAGAGATGTTGTGACACCTGCATGATCAGATGCAGCAATCTCAGCAGGCTTTGGAGCAGCCTTGCAGGCTGTGTTGGTTTTAGGGACTGCAGCCGACCAAAACATTCGTTCAGTACAATATAGCCCAGAAGCTCCTTAGGGCCATGTTGGCCGGGCATGGGTGTGAGCAGCAAGTGCTGCCTAAACCCGGCTTACTCACGTGTGACGGCGCAAGTCTGTGGGTGCTGATTCCTCCGGGTGAGCAAGCCCAGCTGTAAGGCACAACGGGGAGGAGAGGCAGGGCGGTGGGGCAGCAGGGGAGGCCCAACCCAGCCGGGTGACCCAGCGCTCATCGCCAAGCACCCCACTGTCATGGAGGAAAGCACCGTGTCAAACGAGTGATGTGGAGCAGCGCACGTTGCCTCAGTTCCCCAGGGTCATGTCTGCGCCATGGACTAGCCAAGCCAGGCGGAAACAGGCGGCGAGGAATCCAGTGCCCAGGAGATCCCCCAGGGCAGTGAGGTAGGGGATAGAGAAATTATCTGGATCCAGCGCCTTCCTCCACATCAGGCGCACAATTAGGTCGGCCACGTAGAGCAGGATTCCCACCTGGAGAGGCAAGACAGGCTCTGCTGTAATGCAGGAGGAAGGCAACACACAACCTCCCTCAGCTCCCATTCACTTCAGCAGAAACAGGGTTGCTGCGGATACGCAGGCAGCCCCAAAGCGTAAGTTTGCAACCAGATTTTTTTCTCCTCATCCTTCTTTCCATTAGAAATTCAAATCTCGTCTACTTTGTTTTTCCTAAAAGTCTCTGTGGGCAACTAGAGTTTGAGGCAGTTTTTACATCAAAGTTATCCCAAGCAGCACTGACACGTTAAAAAAATATAAAATTATTTTTTTCATCTCAACAATTTTAAAATCTTTGTTGTGATTTCTTTTAATTCCTATTTTGCTCCCGCTTCTGATAAACAGATGGAGGAGAAAATATTTCTCTTAAAGATTAAAGACCGTCTAGTTAATTGAATTAAGAAGGGAGAGTTTGCACTCCACATCTGCAGTCCCCCCATAGGGGACCACAGCACAACAGGAACCAAAGAGAGAGGCAGCATTTCTAAAGGTGCAAACAGCAAGCTGGGTGCAGGGAGAGGGAGATGGAGGGAGCAAATTAATAGCAGAATCACAGAAACTAAAGCTGAATAGAAACTCAAGAGTTTTATATAGTCCATCCCTCTGTCTCAATGCAGGGTGAAATATGTCCCCATCTTTCCTGACAGTGTTTAAATGTATGCTAAACCACCCCCAAAGATGGAGATTACACACTGTAAGCAATCAGCCCCGCGGCTTAATTTTTTGACTTTTATTCTTTTCTCCAAGGTCTAACATAAATCTGTCTTTTTCCATTTGAAACCCCTGTTTTCTTGATTCATTCCTAGTGACCACAGAGAAAGCGTTATTCTGTCCCTCCCCACAGAAACTCGGTAGTTTAAAGGCTATTACCAGATTTTTCTCAAGCCTCGCTTCTTTAGACTAGCTAACCCCAGTCCATTCAATTGTTCCTCTGAGGTCATGTTTTCTAGGCCCCTAATCTTTCTCTTTGGGCTTCCTCCAGCTGAACCGAACTTCCCCCTCTCATTCTTTCTGGTTTTCTTTATAAATTGTAATGGAGGGGAAGAAAGAACCAGGCTGAGCACATTCTCCTCTGCTGGGCTCCATGGGAGTCTTTTGGGGTCAGTGGCGTTGCTGGGATTCTGCTCTTTACACTGTCATTTATTCAGTGTATTTTCATGCTTGGCTCTGGTTGAGGAGTTACCTCGATGCATAAAGAGAAGAATAAATATTTTCCTTTACAACTATGGCTGTGGTGCGGGGCTTCGGGTTGTGCAAAGGTCAAGAAAAACTGATTGTTTACACACGCAAGGAATTCACCCATGGACACAAGGCTGCTTGTAAGGCAAAGTGAGAAGCCAGCTGCCTCGCCCTACAACCTAATGAATTACTGATTTAAAAGGGCAAGTGAAGTCAGAGCCTCTGTGAGTTTGTGACAGATGCATGCATTTCTGAGTGAGACGACAAAGTTTACAGGGCAGTGAAAACACTGAAAGGGAACAGGCAGAACAAATTGGTTGAACTGCCCGTTGCTGACCCCAAACCTTTACTTTCTGTGACGAGCTTCCCAGGCCTGGGTTTTCCCTTCGCTCTTGACTCATACGGCCCCGTCCAAAGGGATCATGATATATGAAATTGGTTTCCAAAATGAGTGGGGAAACCTGCTGGCTGGGTTTCATAGTCTTTCATTTGCTCCTTACTAGGATGACCAGTAGGAACAACTGAGGCTTAAAAACTCAAGGAGCAAATATGGTAAAAAGGTACCACCTTACAGCAAGAGGTACCTAAGCTATGTGTGTCTACCTACTGCAGCTCTGTGGATGACAGTAGTTTGTTCCTCATCTCATTCTAATCCCTCCCTCGTCCTTAGTGGCAGTTGTGCTTCTGTGAGAAACTGCACAGTGGCAATTAGGGTGAAATATTACTGGACGAGTAGAAAATAGAGGTTGCTTGGTAGGAAGGACACTTGAAATGAATGGAAATGGGGGCCACTGCTTGGAGCTTTAGCATGACTCCTGTCTAGCCTGGACACTGTTTTGGTTTTGTGGTATCTATTTTGTAGTATTCCTTTTGGAAGAAAAGCTGGGGTTTACCTGCAGCAAAGCAGCAGTCAGATAAAACATCACAAAGGTGAAGGACAGAGATGTGTGACCTCCTTGCAGCAGGTGGATGGTGTAGAGGAACACGAGGTGCCCTGGGATAACCAGGAGGAACAGGACTCGGGCTGACTTGGAATTCACCTCTGCAGAGGACAGAGAAAAAGAATGATCACAGCGGCTGCAGACAGTGGGGAGAGAACAGAAGATGGTTGTGTATTTTAATGCTGGTACGTAGAGTTGGGTCTGTCCCCTCCCTCCAAACACATTGCTAATGCCTTTTCTAGATCATGCAGCAATCTGGAGCATCTGTAGTATCAGCCCAGCAGCTTTGTCTGGCACTGAAAACTGTGCCAAAGACATGCTCCGTGCTGATCCTCTCACTCTACATCTTCTAAACACTCCTTCTCAGCAGCTATCTCCCTCCCACTGCTTCTGCTCTGTCTTGCTGCAACCCACTTTCCCAGCTTTTAGTCTGCTCCAGCAGTAACTCCCAATCTAGCAGGGAAAATCGAGTGAGCCTGCAGCCTAAAAAGACAACAGACCCAAACCGAGTTTTAATGATGTTTAGGTTTATCCACAGCTGAAGATGGAGGAGTTACTGATTTTCAGTAAGGAGTTACTGATTTTCAGCTCTATTCAGCCCCCTGCCAACAGGTGATGGCTCTAGCCTGGCCATGGTTAAAATCACCTTCTATCAGATAAAATCTCAGATTCCTTTTCAATTACTTTCTTTAGCATTTCCTGAAGACCAGTTTCTTTACATGTTAGTGAGCAAAAACATACAAGCTTTTTTTCAAGCTGCCTGCTGCAGAGATGTTGCTCGCCTGTCTGAGGATCTTCCCCATTAGGGAGAAAGGGAGTTCTGCCTTTGAAACCCACCTAGTCCTTCGCGCCAACCAGGCTTGATAAAGGAGCTATCTGTGATGACGGGCCTTGAGACATGGACACCTAGAGTTCAAGGTCTACCTGATGAGAAGAATGTGGTGCATGGGTTGGGCCAATTCTGCCTCATCTTGTATGGCAAAACTCCAGGCATGCTCCAGAAATGCAGGAATGTGGAAATACGGCTGGCCTGGATGGCGACCAGATTCCCTCCAACACCTATGAGGACAAAACACAGTAAACCTGTACACCACCTTCACTGCAGCAGGAAATACCAGCCTCAAACCTAGCCCAAGACAGGTCAATCTGCATTCACTTACAAGCTCTCTAGGAGCAGCGGTGAGAAAATCTGATCCCACATGTCATGGTGAAGCTGTGCTATTCACCTAGTAGGAACAACTCTTAAAAATCAGGATGGCTCCAGTGATGGTCTTCTGACTGCTTTTTTGGAAATGTTCTCCCTGCCTTGCCAGCACCAGCAGTAAATGCAACGTGCCTCAGAAGATGATGTAATTGAACCTGGTTTGGTGCAGTCTGTGAGCAATACCTGGGGAAAGCAGTGCAGGCAATGGCAGCTGCTGCTCTTGGCCACTTCTTGGATTTACTCAGTCAGAGAACAAGACAACAAACATCATGGAGACTGATTACATGTCTGTCTGAAGGCATCTGACACACTTGTTAAAGAAGGAATCATATGAGAATGAATCAGAGCCCAAATATGTTAGGCAATTAAAAGGAAATTAATTCCTTCCAGACTGATTAATTATAGTAAATATGAAAAAGCTGCTACATTTTCCAGTAGAAAATAGAGGGCTGATGATCTGTGGAGCAAACTTCCACCATCCTGAGTGTGTGCAGGGTAGAAATAACACAGAAAAGGTAACGTTGAGCTGGATTGCACAGGCTTCTCATGTTTTCATTGCCTTAAAGAAGGAAATTCTTTAAATGATTCTTCACATCATTAAATGTGAGATTTGCCAGAGTGGAACCAAAATGAAAACACCCTGACAGAGCAGCACATCCAACATGGAAGCTTTCTGAAACACACACTGCTACTCTTTGCAGGATTCTCATGCACATGCAACGTAGTTACCTGTGCAAAGTCACAGAGCACTGCCAAACAGTCACCCACCCCCAGAGACTGATGTCTGGGTCAGCCATTGTTCACCTAAACAGCTGTTGACACATGCACTTTCCTAATCGGGCTCTTTGGCTAACCATGCTGGAAAGAGTTTGTCACCAAGGCGGCTGTCTTTATGCAGATCCTGCAAGGTGACAGCTGGATGACACCCTCTGACATTTCAAGATGACACCATGCTTTGACAGTGGCATGAGGCCAAGCCTTCCCTAGGAACACGGGTTTCCCTTGGAATGGGCCTGGTCTGCAAGAAACATTAGAACGGCAGAAAAACAACCCAGTGGATTCTCAGTGATCCCCAGCAGTTTATACCGATACATTTATGTGTCTGTAACAGAATATTGTGAGGCTTCTTACAAATATAAATATACATACAAAAGATGTTTTTATGTATATATACAATCTACACACACAATCTTGTATATATATATATATATGTATACATAATATATTAGTCTTTATCATCAATCTGTTTAGGGGATGATTGCACAGCTCAAATTAGTGAGCGAAGAGAGATGGAAAATGGATTTATTGTGACATCCTTAGTAGGTCTGATGTTATGAAAGTGAAGGTGTCAGCATAGCTATCAGAGATAATCATCAGATGCTGTTAACCTTTCCAACAGCTCTGTCAGTATGTTTCAGCCCTGCCTGCTATTTTGCACCGGAGATGCTTCAAAATACCAGTAAGCAGGGATGTAATGGGGACCAGTGACTTCACTTCTACTGGTGATGGGAGCAGGGACTTGAAAAGAGACTCCTACATAGGGACAACAGTGGATAGCGTAAGCCTTGAGAAGACAGAGGAGGAATAAATAAAAGCATGCATATAACCCCCCTGGCCAACTTACCGTTAATCACAGGTGTGAAAACGGCCATGCCTTCAAACTTTGGGTCAGTTACAGTTTTGTCCAAGATGAGCCCACCAATGCTGTAAAAAAAAGGACAGGCAAAGAGGGTGGATCAATCTCTCTTACCCAGAACAACTCCTGTGCTGTGAAAACAGCACACAGAGATAAGTTATTATCTTCTTCCTTATAATAACTTATAAGTTATTATCTTCTTCCTCATTGAAAGTGCTGGACTGTTCCCTATAGCAGACGTTTACTCCCTTTACATCTGTTTTCACTGATAGCCTTGCATTTTTTGTTAATGGAATAAGGAGATCAGCAAGGAACCCCTCTGAGCAAAATGAATACTAGTCAGGGAAGCTTTACTATCCTTGCCAAAAGTTTTGCTAAACCTCTATATTGGTTTTAGCAGTTTTCAAAACTCTGTCTCAGCTGGGTTTGAATGATGGAGCACAGAGGGGAACGAACTACCTGGCCCTACATTCACCAGTCGTTTACAGCCGAATAAAAATGAGGCTGAAGTCTGACTATTTGCGATGGTTATCATCTCCCTTTTTGGTTTCCTGGCTTGCACCCATATGGTACGTGAATGTATGAGTGGGACTTAAAACAATGACTTGCTTTTTCCAGTCATTTGTGAGCTCCCTATCTGCTTTTCAACAGCCTGTTGAGATACCCTTCTGCTTTCCCTTCCAGTTTCCCTTTTTATGGCTTTATAAATGAACACAGGGTCTCCTTGTAACACGCAGACATGTGTGGGCTAGCGGGAGTTGTTCCTTGGTTTACCTGCTGATGCTCATTGCAACAATGACCGGCTGCCATCCAGACTTCAGAACTTCAGCAAGGGAAGGACTTTGCTTGGCAATAGCAACCCAGAGTGGGATCATGACAATGAAGACAGCACAGATCAGAGGAGAAAGGTATTTCACATCTGGCAAGGAAAAGAAATCTTGATTTAAATGCCCCTGGCTTCCCAGACTGCCAAAATTATATTGCATAAAGTCTGGAAGAAAGGCAGCAGGGATCTGGCTCAGACTGAGATACGTTAACAGAAAAATCATATGAACCAAGATATTCCCCACATGACCACCTCACTCCACCACAGAAATTCATAATTAACCTCTGAAACTCACTGCTAGAGGATGCTATTTGAAAATCAGCAGGACTCAAAGCAAGTTATATTTGAAGATGTGCAAGTCTCCAACTTCGTCTCCAACTAAGCAAGACAAAAGTTACAAACTTTCCAGCTTCAGGGTACAAATAAAACAGCAGGGCAAGAGGGGGAACTCTCCTGTGTGCAAGCTGCATCAGATTTTAGACAGACACCTCATGCCTTCAACTAAAACAAGACGTAATAGGTACTTTTTGTGATAAGCTAGCAGGCTCAGTGAGCAGCTGGCCTGCTCTACAGGGACAAATGCTCTCTTGCATGTATTAGCCAGTTAAGATCCAGGGTTTCTTTCAAGCTAGCTAACATGTGTTTCCATTAGGTGCTTTTTCCGTTCAGTAGGGGCATAACCTTGAAGTGACCTTTAGAAGCAAAGGTTTTAAAAAATAAGTGTATGTGCAAAACCAAAAGAAAATAAACATGACTCAGAACCATGAGAAACACCTTCAAGCGATGGGGATGATGCCAACCCTTCTGATATAAAAACACTTCTTCGACAAAGCTCTCCATCTGGTCGCTGTGCTGGGGCCATTGCCAGTGGTTTGTAACACAGGCTTTGCAGGTAATCTGGGAGACTGCAGGCTCGAAGTGCACATTTTTCAAAATGACATTGTCAGGGCCTCAGGCTACCTGGGTGAGATAGCATTGATTTGATGATATCTTCACAGAATCAAGAGCTCTTACACAAAGGGATGCACTCTTTACATGTGGCTTTAGTCAGCACTGAAATGCAACCACTTCTGGGGTGTAAATAGTCGCTGTTTTGTCAGGGCATTTTAGGACAGATGGGTTGTATGACAGACTTTGCTGCTGTACTGGATTTCCTACCCCCACCCTCGTTGTTTTGGGCCATTAATTCCTCCTTAAATGATGCATACACGCAGCACTGGTGTCTATCAAAGCTTACAAAGCCTACAGAAACACTCCTGCTGGAATGAATGGACTTAGGTCTCTGCATACCAACTCTGCCACACCAAGAACAGCCCCTAAGCACATTGCAACCCTTTGACACAGTTCATATCTTCATTATGGACTGGGAAGGTCCAAGGTTAATCTTTAAAAAACTGGAAATCTTCATTGGCGAAAGGGTGCATTCACTGTAAAGAGAAGGTACTGTACCAGAAGGCACGTGGCCCCCCAAACTTACGGACTCACTGGTAGTTACGGAGGATATATTTTGGTAGGATCCAGAAGTCACATCACCATCTATCCCTTACTACACACTGGGGAGAGAAGTAGATTTATTTAACCACCATCAATGGTGCCTTCCTTTTACCTGACTCACTTTCTGCTCTCAACAACCAGGTGTCTGTGCGGTGAGTATTATCCATATCAAGAGGCTGAAACTATTTAAACTACTCTGAAAGCATCACAGATGCTTCTCTAGTCACAACCACAGAGGCTATCATGTTGTTCTGCCATGTGTTCCCTGGGAGATATTATCAGTGGCACAGCAACTGAAAGGCAAATGAACTCTACAGAAGCAGAGGCAGGTGTGATGGCGTCATGGAAAAAGCCTAATAAAAAAATGCACCTCTGAAGTCCAAGGAGAACTGGATGGAAGCAATTCATGGGCCTCTCCCTGCAACGTGTGCTCCCTCGCTTTCTGGCACATGGAGTGAGTTACGCAAACTGGGAACAGCTGCTGTCACTGCTGCTCACAGTCTGAAGCAACAGTTTAGGTTTCAAATGGCACTGAGCTTGCTGGATCTCTTTATTTTCCTGTTCCTATTCTAGGTTACACTCATGGTAAATAGATGAGTACTTTACAAGCAACAGTCAAGCATATATTACCAAGTTGCAACATGTTTTGTGCTTTTCAACGTCAACAGGTGCCCAAGTCTTTGCCAACCAGCAGCACAGCTAACCTCACAGCCACAACGCCTACTCAGAGCCCCGTGAGTATTAAACAATGCAGCACTATCTCCCTAACTCCAAGAATACAATATCATCTTGTTCATCCACGACTCTCCACATGAGAAGACATGTGAATACTTTACAAATGCCAAAACCCTGAAATAGCTTTGTGAGGAGGGGCCTGCTATGAACCATGCACAGAAAGTAGTTATGCTGGACTAGTGACAGATGCAGGAACAGTGTCATGTATGTCAACCTTTTAATCCAAAGCTATGTGATAAACGTTGGTCATTTCTTTGAGAAATACTAGTTGCATTTCTTAGGCTCTGCCTTCCAGTTTGCTACTGAAAGAGTGCCTTGAAAAACCATTTGTGGTCATTTTCCCACCTCAGTGGTATGACAGCCTCCACTCTGAAGCATCCCAGAAATGTGCAAGTGCACTGTAATAATTTAACAAGGATTCATCTCTTGCCGAGCTGCAAATCCCTGCTAAACACCTTACCTATATATTTGAAGAGGGTACTGCTGATTCCTGCCAGCAGGGAAAGGGTTATCAAATCTCCAAGGCTCGCTGCTATGGGTGTGGCGATGTTGTCTGGATTGATCCCAACTTTCCTTGCTCCAATGATCACGCCAATCATCACCAGACCTAGAGAAGACACAGAGCAGGCATCAGAGGAAGCATCTTGCTGTGTTTCACCCTGGAGCTGCTATTCTGGATCCCAGAGGGACACGGGGTCTGGGGAAAGCAAGCAGCACATCGCCCATAGCGGAATCACACAGCTGAATACTGGACATCCCCAGGAATTTGTCCTCTTGCTTTCACCAATCTGAAGGGCATGCCTCTGCCCTTGTGAACTTCACCAAAGGCCCAGAGGCACACAGGCAGATTCCAGGGATCAAAGGAGATACCAGCAGGCAGCCCAAATGTAGAAGCTCCCCTCCTGAGCAGCCTAATCTTTGCTGCCTTGAAGCAGAACCAGGCACGAAGCACACTCATAGATAAGCACACAGCAGGCATGCAGCAGCCTCCCGGTGCCATCTCCTACTCTGGATTCTGCAGCACAAAGATATTTTCCATATTAGACCATAATTTCTGAGGAGTTTGAACCACCAAGGAGCAGCGAGCTTACTCGCAGTAAGCAAAAGCCTAAATTAGCTTTTCAGCTCGGCCATCAGACAGACCCCTCGCAGCCCACAGTCTTTGGGCTGCTTTAATTTGCACGTGGGGAGGGATGGTTCAGGGAACAGATCCAGAGCTGTGGGGTTATTATGGAAGTGGCTCACCCTGCCCCTCTACCCCTACGCTCTGAGCTGCACCTAGGAAATTCAGCAGCTTTTCAAGACTGTCAGAAAGGAGAGAAGTTTGTCTTGCCCAAGTACGTTAATGAGCACTGATCCCAAGGCTTGATGAACAGGTGAGAATCAGCCACCGGATCTCTCACAGGTCTGTGGAAGGGCCACCTGGATACACTCTGCCTGGCCAACCTTCACTGCTGTGTGCCTGGCAAGGGCAGCTTTGGAACAAGACACGACATCTCTTCAAAATCCTCCTGTAGCTGACAGGATGCGCCAAAGGAAGCCTGGGAAAGGCTTTGCTCCTGCTCACAACTTCTGTGTCTGTTTGCACAGGCCCGCAAAAGTTGAGCAAGCACAGGAGTGTAAGCTCTCCCCTAAAAAATACCACTTTCCTCAATACAACGTGCCTTATACAAAAGCACATCCTCACATTGTAGCATTCTCCACCAAAGCCCTCCCAGACACCCACGCTCCCCTCCCCACCGAACAGCTCCCACTGCCTCCCTCCCTGGTCACAGAAATACCAGTTTCCCTTCATGCACATCCACACACAGGCCGGCTGTGGCCATGTCCAGGGAAGAAACTAATGCCAGCTGAAAGCCTGCAATGGCGCAGCAGCAAAGCCTCTCTGTATCACACTGAGCAGAGAGATTGAAGGGAAGAGTTTAATGAAAGCTGGGCTGCTGTTTTTCTCTTTTAACAACTGCCTCATGTAATGTTCTTCATCAAAGGCATCTACGATCACCCTTTGACTCCAGCTTCAGGATATGCACTTGCTTCGACTTGTCCCTTTTGCTTAGAAAACTTGCTATATCCAACTCTGCCAGCTCCCTCTATTCAGGGTATCATGCTGCCCTCACATGGCAGACCTACAAAATATTCATCCTCAGTCGTCACAGAGCAGCTCCTGCCTGTCCACCCCATCGTGTTTGCCTTGCAAACAGGAAGAGCCAGGGCTCAGAGCAGGTAATGCACAGGGACAGCCACAATCCTCTGCTGTCCATCTTGAGCATGGCTTGGAGCTGTCTGCTAACAAACAGACTCTCAATACCCTGCTTTGTGCCGAGGCATCAGCTAATCCTCCCCTATGAAAGGGACAGAGTGGATGGCTAATAGGTCACCCAAGCTGAACAGAGAAAAAGTGTGCGTGTGTGCTTTTACACCCACCCAGAGCACGGGGCATTTTTTGTGCAAGTCAGGTACCATGGGACATTTTGATTGCTGCTGTAGATGCCAAGAGCCCAGCAAACAACAGATCCTGGGAGAAGAGAAGCAAGGACAGGGAGCAGAAGGACGAAGCTGTGGACATGGGACTAATGTCCTTCCGCTCCCTCCACTCCTCATCCACATGCGAAACAAAAAGGATTTCAGCAGGGCCTCCCTGGCAGAAGGGATGAGTTTTTCTGCACCTGAGTACTGCACATTTAACCTGAGAAGGAACTAAAACGACTCACCAAGAGAAAGTGCAGCTATGAAGGCCGTGGTCACACTGCTGGCACACAGCACAGCAGCCTGGCTCAGCTCCACAGAGCCCTTGGAGATGGCTCCCAGGATCACAGCAGCAACGGCAGCCAGAAGTCCCACCACGGTGGCCTGGACCTAGGGGCCAAAAGACAGCTGGTGAGCAATCAGCCACATCTGCTCCCAGGCAGTCCTGGCTCCACGTGACTGCAGCATTTCTGCACAGCTAGGAGGGCAAAAAGCAAACCCTTGCAGAGATGCTGATTGCTTGTGCATTTAAGCAGCATCCCTGTAAGGCTTCACTACATTTAAAAAAAAAAATCCTGACAAAGTTGGGAGAAAAACTCTGGAGGCCTGCAAAGGGCAGATAACACTTCAGCAAAGGACACTGAGTCCATAAGCAATGGAATAGTCCCGGTCAACACAAAAATGGGCTTCCCATCAACACAGCACTTCTACCAAGCTGAAAGCTGTGGAAGGAGATAAGGGAAAGCACACAGACACATGTTGCAAGCCCTTTAGCCTTGCCATGTGCAACCTCCTAGGCTAGTTGCTGGATTTTAACAAGCAGAAAGAGCTTGTTTCTCCCATCTCTCCCCTCCTGCCCCAGGCTGATTCCCAAACTTTGCCTGTAAATGACAGGCTTTATCTGGGGGCTGTTGTGAAACAGCGACTGTGCTGCAGCTCCCCCTGCAAAAGGAGTTTCTTTCATTATTTCAGTTTGTCCACAAAGGCAATGTATGTCTAGATCTGTTTTGCTGATGAACAACAAGCTCCAGAGCTACACAGAACTTTATCGGAGGTCAAGGCTTTGCTTGGCTCTGTTGAGAATATCAGCCCCGAATCAATAGCTCTGGACCCAGAAGTGCTGGGAACAGATGCTGTCAGACTACAGAATAACAAGAGAAAAGGGCTTTTTGCCTCTCCCAGCTGGAGTGACTCACCTGGATAAGGGCTAAATTGCAGGTGGCCATTTTCCACTGCTTCTGAGCATCATCCATCTGTCCAGTGTTAGCCTAGGAATCAAAAGAGAAACCCTGAAAACCTGTCCCCAGAGCAAATGTGGCTGCTGAAGGCAATTTCATCTGGCCCCTGTGGGAAAGAGGCTGCTAAAAGCCAGAGAAACAAAGACAAGTCAGCATCTCCCAGCCTTCTCAGCACTCCCCTCGAGACATCCCTACTGTGCTCCTGACCAACACCCCAGGGGCATCAGAAGCTCGCAAGGAAGTGCAGAGGCATTGTAGGGCACCCACCTTAAGACAGAGTGAACATATCCACCAAATCTCACACAGACCATATGTTGGACAAACTAAACTGTTTTTCCTCTTTCTGGCCCCCTAAATTGCTCTGTTAAGCTCTAATTTCCCCCAGACAGCTGAAAGCAAACAAAACTGCTTAGGGAGATAGGAAACCTTGCTGAGAGATCACATCCAGAGCAACAAAAGCTAATGCTGGTCCCAAGAAGCCTCAGGCTATTCCCCCAAAAATGGAATTGCTGGGCAGCCCTGGTTCTCTCAAGGGTCAATAGCCACAGAAAAGCAATCCAGTCCCAAAGCTGATAGCTCTGGATCCCTGGCTCTGTCTCCTTCCTGTGTCACCAGGCCCTAAATAGGAGCAACTGGCCTCACAGGGATTAATTCACGTTCGAAGAGCAGACAGAAATTCTCTGTTCCATTTATTAAATGAGGGCAAACACATTATTTTAACACTCACACACAGCTAATTTCTACTTAGAAGAAACTGGCTTGTCTCAAACACAGAGTGGTTACATAAAAGCAGAATCTCTTGATGCCTCCTGCTAACTCCTTCCCTCCCACTTCCACCGCCTTGTTAACACTCACAGCAGTAGAGAGCCTGGATGCCAGCGTCATCTCGAGATTACCCTTCAGGCCAACCAAGGCAGGAACCAGGATAAAAACTTCTGTAATCGTCTGAAACACAGCCCAGTGCTAGAAGGGAGAAAACAAAAGAAGAAAACAACTCAATTTGTGATGCTGACCACTGCACTGCTGCTGCTTCAGAGCAGAGCAGGTTCCCATCTCAGCCCCTCTTCTACAGGTATTTGCTAGGCACATGGGGGCAGATTCTGCCCGAGGCTGGTTGCACTTTGGGAGTGAAGTAAACAATTTTTAGCTTACAGGATACTTTCTGATCTCATGTACAACGAAGCACTATCCTAACAGCATAGAAACCTTCCTGAGGGCAGCAGCAGGTTTTGGAAAGTTACAGCTTAAAATGTACCTTTAGCATTAGCCAACAACATCAGAAATTATTAAGGTTCACAAGCCAAATGAAATACAGCACACCCTCCATCCTCTACACTGACACTAGATACAGGATCTCCCGTTGCTATCCAGACTCATAAGAACAAACACAAAGATCTGGAAATGATCTAGCAACAAAAAGTCACGTCTGTCTTTCTTTACCAAATCTCAAACTAACCATCTAAGACTGGTGGTGGGACTGAAAGACTTTTTTGTATCTCTTCTCCACAGGCAGTTCCTAAATCTTCCTGTTACCAAGCACACTCCCAGCACAGCTGGAAAAAGGATTTTGAATTAAGATATCCCATAAGCCTGAACTGCTGGGCCAGTATCTTCATTATCATTGCTCCTCTGAAGCTGAGCTATACAAAGTTCTTGAATCAGCTGCAACACTGGAGATGATCTGAAACCTTAAACTCTGTTGATTAACACACATCTTCTCTAGTGTATCTACCATGCGGTGCCTTTCAATATAATTCATTTACCCCCTGTGCGTACAAGGATGTTACAAAGTCACGCAGTAGCTAGAGAGGCTCACATCAGAATGAAACTGCAGAACAGAGCAGCTCACTGTGAAGTAAAATCAACCAACCTAACATCTAAGAGCAGAATACAAGAAAAAATAGCTACAGTGACTGAAGGTCCATCTAATCTATTCTTACCTCTATCACTGGTCAAATTCAGATGTATAAAATGAGCACCTATAAACACGACAAGCATATGGAATAATTCTCCAGTGTATTTTCCAGCCTACAATTATCTGCCACAGGGTCCTGAGCTGGAGGAGCTGCTCTGCACTTAGCACTGCTGGAAGAATTTCTCTTTCAGGTACTCATGCAATCTACCCCCTCCAGCCCATGTGCCATCCTGGGGCAAAAAATTCCACAGCTTAGCTACACATCACGAGAACTTTCATTAATTCTGAACTTGTCACTGCTGAGTTTCATATGATGGTCCCGAATTCTTCTGCTAGAGGACAAACATGAGCAACAGAGCTCTGCCTACCTTCTCCACATCCCTTGGGATTTTGTAAACCTGAATATCCGGGAGGTGAGACAGACTCAATAGATGTCAACACATTCACCATTCAGCCTGTTGGGAAACACACGCAGGGTGTAACGGCTCAGTGTTTTTGCTCTGGCTGTGCCCTGAGAAGCTGTGGGAAGCTGGTGGTGTCTGCTGGGAAGCCTTAACAGCTTCCTTCTGAGTCAATATGAATGAAAGAGGGGGTGAGCCAGCCCCGAGCACATGGTGCAAGACACCCCTCAGGGGTGCAGATAATAGGCAAAACGTTATTATCAATACGAGAAGGCTTATTTCCTGGCACCGCTGATCTGGAACCTGGCACATTTCAAAATGTTAAAAGTTACCTACTGTGAGTAAATAACAGACAACACGAGCAGAGTCACCTTATTTGATACACTGCAATTCTCTTTGAATTTGTTAACATGGAACTTAAATACCTGAGAAAAGGGACAGACATCTCTTAAAGACTCAAATTATCCTCTCTCCTATCTCTCTAATTAAGAATAAAAAAAGATCCAAACCCATCTTTGACACCTTCAAAAGAAAGAGGAGAAAAAATAGTTCAGAGTCGCAATGTAAAAAAGCCCAACCATTTAAAATACACAAATGTGCAGGCATTTGTATGTAAGATCTTGCATATTTTGCACATAAAAAGACATAAACATGAAGAAAGAGACAAACTCAACTGTTTGTATTTTACATGTAGGTCACCTTTGGGAGATATGACTTTGTTGTATCGATGTAAGCTCCAATCCTTGTGTTAATGATGGATTTTACAGGTCTCAAGCCATCGTAACGGAAGGTTTAGTACGTGAGGTATGATTTTTTTGGGACACTGACTTATATAATTACACTGAAAAGCTTTGAACAGCTAATAATAAAATCACACAACTGTACTAATAAAAACAAAGCTGATTTAATTGCTTCCATTTGAGTCTCATTAGTGACTCACCAAGAGCCTGAGGACAGATTCACACTAATTTATACCATGGCAGTCAGGATTCCCTTGTGTTAGAGACTGCAGAAATGCAGAATAAATAGATGGTCCCTGTGCCACTGCTAAGCAGGACTGCCAGGAGAAGGAGCAGGTGGATGTGGCAGGTTAAGGCTGTTCAGGCAAGGAGCTGGATGGAGTGAAGCAGGCATCTCTGTCCTTTGAGGTGAAAATTGGCCTAGATCAAATCTACACAAGGAAACCAAGGGAGAAAATGACTTTTTCCCACTTCGTGCACCCATAACAGAGTTACAGCCACAACTTGCAAAGCACAGCACTGAAGAAACTTGGTCACCCTACGATCCACTGCAGCTGACTCACTTGATCCTGTGATCCCCATGGCAGCTGGATCTGCTCATGGGGTCCCAGAGGGGAAAAGAGGCTGTGATGTACTGACACCGACTCTCCAGCTCCAGCCTAACCCCACCATCCCACACTGCTGTCCTCACAGTCCCAGCCACGTCCTCTGCTACCTCTCCTGGTGTGTCCATCCTCCCACAGCAGCTAAGAAAATCTCAGAGGTTTTCCATTGCCCTGAACAAATCAACAGAAAGGTCAAAAGATCCTGGATTGTAAAGCCCAAGCCAATTCAAAATCCCTTTCAATGTTAATCATCCCATGGGCTTCTATCAACAAAGGATAGGAATATCTTATATCTGTGACTTCTGTTTGGACTGTGTCACGTTGCAGTGGTGTGGAAGGGGAGAATGAAAGGGCAGCTCTCCTTCCTGAACTCTCTGGTTTGAAATCTGATCATCCAGTTTCAACCTGATTCTTCACCTTACTGTAAAACAGTGAACCAAACACTGACAGGGTCCCACAAGGTTTGTGCTTCCCCAGCAATGCCAGCCAGCCTGGAATCCAGACAGACCAACCAACCAGGGATCACTGGAGTGCAGGTAGAAGTGGAATCGTTCAGCAAGAAAAGACCCTTGCAGTGATCTTGGTCCTGCACAGAGGCTGCATCCATCATCTGTGCACCTAAGAAGAGAAAAAGGCAAATGGCTATTGCTTTGGGCATCCTTTTACAGTGAGAGAGACCCAAGTCTGAGTTTGATGTCAACTGGGCTGGAGAGATCTCTCGTGATTTCGTGGATTGGAAAATGCTGAAGTCCTGTAAAGGCTGATGGACACAAATAAGCACCCTCCACTTGGCTCTACAGTTTCTAACAATATCAGCCCTGCAAATTATAGAAACAGTTAGATTCCCAGCACAGCCACTGTATTTCTAAGTAACAAAACAGAGCAGCACCATTAAACTCACACGTATGCTTTAAATACCATCTTGGAGCTTGTTCACACATCTCCCTGTCAAAGGTAGACCTGGAGTTTCCTAGGAATGCTTTGTAAAGACTACACATCATGAAAAGCATTCCTCGGTCAGACCATCCCCTGAAAAACAGGCAAATCACAGGCTCCCGGACTAGAAAAAAAAGTAGCCTCTGCAGTGTGAACGCTCATGATTGTCACCACGAGTCTCATAATACATGGCCTCAAGCAAGCAAACCAAGTCTCAGATTTTAGTTGGACAGGACAGCAAGTTTCTAGTTCTCATGCTGCAGGAAGAAAAGCTGAAAATAAGCAGCTCACAGACAAAAAGGCACAAAAGAACAATCCGAACCCTTAAAGGCTAAAATCCCTGGATTTTTCCAGCTACTGGTTTTGTTTTTAAAAAGAGGGTTGTTGACATCATGTCAGCTTACCTCAATAACATCTCTCCGATGCTGGCTGTGATTCTCAATGCACTAGCTCCCTCCTCTGGGAGCTGAACCCACTGACTGATGGCTTCTATTTCAGTATAATTGGAAACACCTTCACCAAAAAATACACTTCCTATTACTGTGCTTCATGCATGACCCCATTTCTAAGAGTCTAGAGAGCAAATACTGCAAAGTGAGCAAAGTAGGCTGTGCTCTGGTATTTTAAAGGACATGTGCAATGTAGGTACACAAGGCTTGTGTTTTCCATCAGTTTTGATACAGTCACATTCTTTAACAGAGCCCGCTTCTCAGCAAGTGCATTGGATTTGTTTTAAACAAAGACCTATTCACCTGCCAAGGGTACAGAACGGGTACGTACAATGTCTTTATACTTCTCGGAGATATCTGGCCAAAGATAACTGCTAAATATTAACATAACATCTTGGGTAGTTTGAGAACTTCTGTAATGCTGCAAGACAGGTCTGTGCCTAAGCGCTGCACAACAAGGTGGAGACAACAAACAGAGCATAGCAACAGCTGTGCACTCCAGTTAACCCTTCTTTGATATTCCTCATATTCCCTTTTATTCAACTTTGCTGCCTTCTTTGTTTCTTTCAGTGCAAGAAAAAAACAGCAAGGTATTGTCCTTCCAAACACTCAAGTGTCCATATTTAGATCCTGCTGTGGTACGAATGCCAGAGAATCTAATGTACTCCAGTGAGCTCAGCCTGCAGGATATATCCCTGGGAAACTGTGCCAGCCTTTTGATTTGTAAATCCACTGGCATTAGATGCCCAAACTAGATCAAATTTTGCATTTCTATTTGTGCCCCTGGTACAAAGGAAAGACAGATGGGATAGATTCTGGCTGTGGGCACAAAGGTGTAAATCCAGCACGACTCCTTGGAAGTCGATGGAAGTTACTCCAAATTTACACCCACCTCAGAATCTGGCCAAGAAGCACTAAGTTTGTAGGCAATGCTTATCTTTTCATGCTGGCATGCGTTTCATCACAGTATCTAAATACCTTCTAGACCAAAGATTACATTAGGTTGTTTGCAAAGAACTGAAAACATATAAACTTGCCTCCAAGTGAAACGGGTAGTTAGTAACAACCCTGACCTAGATCTCTTTATCAGACATTTTTGAAGAAAGAGTATCATGCAACAGGGGAATACACCGCAGCCTGATCCCAGCTGCTTCATAGCAGTCATCACCAGAGTGTTTAGCTGGATGCAGTGCAGTGAGCCCCCAGCCTAAAGCATCGAGAACGGGGTCAGGCAGCCCCTCTGAAAGCTGCTATCCCACTTCGCAAGGAGCCCATGATCGTAAGACAGACAGCATCTCTCTAGCACAGGAAAAGCCCACAGCCATTTGGCTGAGCAGCTGCCAGGACCACACACATTAAAAGCAGCAAAACACAAATACTCCAGGTCAGTGAAGCAGCCCACCCCCTCACTACTGAAGCTGCCTAACCACGTGTACCTACTTGAACAACATCCATCAAGAGGCCAGCAGCTACCATGCCCAAGCCAGCCAGAAGGAAGGGCACGAAAATCTGGGAAGCAATGGAGAAGGAGGTCTCTGGGAGAAATCCACTGGCTGACCTAGTCAACTTGCAGGTGAAACCACGCAGCTTCTGGCCATGAAAGCACAGCTCCAGTTCTAACTGGGTGACCACCATGGTCGAACACCGTTACCCCATGCTCAGCAGCGCAAGTGGAGGGAGATCAAGTCATCACACAGATCCTCCTGGTAGCTCACTCCGAAGTCAAAAGAAATACGCTTTTCCTCAAACTACAACAATGATGCCAAATTGTTTTATCTTCTTCTCCTCCTAGGAGCGCGTCCAGAGGGTTGCAGCAAGGGTATCCTCCAAAATTGGTTCAGCTGGGTTGAGCCCAGGTGGCAGCAAACCCGACGGACACTATTTCTCCGAGTTATATCCAGGGGGGAATTATAAAAGATAAAAGAAGATTGTAGAGATGTCCGTGGACGAATAGAAACGAGCCCACACCCCATTCAGCTCCCACCACCTCGGTAAAAACCAGTAAGACCTGCTCAGGCTACAGCACTGAAAGAGTGACAGGTCATGCAAGAATCCTTCAGCGTGCTCAAACGCAGTAGTGTCCTTTCTCCTCAGGTTACATTTCTTGTCAGACCGCGGCTTGCCTTTGATACGATGGTTTAATATATAAGCCTGCTGTGAGCCGGCCCCACTTCCCTCACTCCCACCATAAGCAACGTTGAACTTTTCTCGCTGTCCCAAGGCCGAGGAGGTGGGGAGTTAACAGCCAGGATCCGTTTTGCTCTCCTCCAAGGTGAAGAAAGGTCAAGGAAAACATGAGTCGACGTTTCTGCCTGCTGACTATATTATGCAGCTTCCATCCCCGGGCAAGTGACAGTTAAGCCAGCTGGTGAGAGGAGATCTGCCCTTCTAGACCCTGGCCCCTCTCGTCCCCTCCATGGTCTCAACGGGATGTAACGATCGCTCTGTGCCAGCTATACCTCCGAATGACTGGCTTTCAGGGGGGGAAAAAAAATCTAGAGAACCAGCCAATAAGCTTCAAAAGCGAACACCCTTATCTGCTGTCATCACTTCAACTTTCTGCTAGTTTGCAAAGGCCAAGATAAGAGTCATAGCCAGAGCTTATTTAAGGTAGCTCCGTAATCTCGCTACTCCACAGGCAAAGGAGAGAAAGGGCGAATATTTCCAGGGCATGCTGTGAGCTGGTCTCCCTTCCTGTCCTAGAGCAAAACACTCTGCTTCTGCGTACTCCCAGGAAGATACGGTCACTGAGAGGTGGGGTCTCCCCTCAAAGTCTCCCTGGTCAAACAGCTGACACAAGCCCAAGAACCAGAGCTACATCACAGCCACGTACGGACAAAGAATTTATATCCTGCTCAGTAAAGACTGCAGTGAACTCTTCAGCTCAAAGTCAAGCATGAGGGGAGGGAAGACTGGGTATTCTGCTGGAGCTCCTTTCCAATAATTAATTTGGGCAAAACTTAACTAGAACAGAGAGCGAAAAGGCTTTAAAAACATAATTTAGGATGAAAGAGTAAAGGATTGGTTTAGTAGGTTGGCCACTGGGCTTTTTCATTCTCCAGCCATGGGTTCAAACCCAGCTATGCCCTACTGAAAGAAATGAGTGAAAAAAATATTCAGTGGTACGCATGAAAGATTCAAGTTTCTCAGTCCAGTTCAAATTCAATGTTTGAACTGCACTGACTTACTAATACCTGTTGTACTAATCAACCTCCCTGACACTCTCTGCAAAGAGAGGTGAAGATTAATGGCTTGTGGACTCTGCCCCTGTGACTTGGTTCCCAGCTTGCAGCTAAGTGCGTTAGCAAGGTTGGACAGAACAAGGCATACTTTTGCCTTGTAGATAAACAGAGAACTAAGGACACTTGCAGGATGGTGCGCTTCTTTTGGTCTGGTATCACACACAGCAAAATACCAAGCCTGGTGGGCTGAGGTGGTACAACACATCTCTCTGCAAGCACAGCAGGGTGAAAAATAAGAGCCCTAGCTACAAATGGGAAACTGTCCTTTCTAAGTTAGTATTTTGGGACAGCCCCTAGAGCCTCCTCCACTCCCAGCTAGCTTGGTGTGTACATGTCCACCTCTTCCACCTAACAATAGTCCGGCTAGCTGAAAGCTAAAAAGGGAGTATATTTCAGCTAATCTAACTGGGGAAAAAAAAGTCCACAATAGCTGGAAGAGGGAGGTTAATAAAAATCCTGTAATAACCACACATCATCCGACCTCTTTATACCAGCCAGGAACTGGGCAGCAAAGGCATGAAGGCGCAGTTCTGGTTAGAAACTCAGAGGCTTCAAGCAAAAAAGAATAAAGAACAATCTCTGGGCTGCAACTACATGCTTTTTAAGGTCTGATAACATGCATACCTTATGTCATCACATCCGTCAGCAGGACTGCTGACAGGCAGCAACATTAATGTAAAGGAAATATCAATGAGCTTGAATGACTCAAACGACATTAAAAACACAGCAGCAACACATCCTGTTCTAAAGCTTCAACCTGGCAGGGGTTACAAGTTTATCATGCTTCAGCTCTCTCTGTTTCTAAGCAAGCACCATAAAAAGCCTTCGACCGATGAATAGGTGTACAGAAAGGTAATTGGTTCAGGTGGCCTGTGCGTGTACACCGGGTCATTTTATTATGCATTTAAGGAGTCTCTGATAAGGTCTCATGCCATTATTGCCAGCAAAGAGATGTGTCACATTTTCCTAGCAGAGATATATCGTATTTGTTGGCAAAGAGACATACCACATCTGAGAAGAAGAGCATTGCCAAGCAGCCAGAAACAGATTATAGCTAGTTGGGGGAAAAAAATGCACCTCATGGCTGTAGCACTCTTCATGACAAAACCTGGGGAGTGCTCTGCTGCCCTTCTCTGCACCAATACCCCTACTCTCACACATTAGACAACACGAAGTATTGCCCTAGAGCAGCCAAAGCAGAAACAGACTCTGTTGGAGCCCTCATCCTGATCTGGGGCCTCCATCCACTGCTGCAGCTCAAAAAATGGAAAGACAGCAAGTGCCAAGGAATGCAGTTTCAAACGTACCTTATCATCCCTGCAAAGAAGGGACAGGGATACAACAAGCACTCTTGCAACACAGCACTGGTAGCAGCAGACAGTGGTAGTCTAACATCTCAGAGCCCTCAAAGGACACTGGCTTTTGGGGACCCCATGTCCTGGTTGTTGGAGCACCAGCACTCATGACTCTGCTAGCTCTCCGTCAGATCAGGCTGCGTATTATTCCTGTTTCCCACCTTGCTCCTCTGTTCCCCCCTTTAGGAAAGGAAAGGGAAGGGGACTGAGAGTAAGTGGTAAGCTAAAAGCAAGCAAGTTGCAAGTGCCTGGAGCCCAAAGCCTTGCAGAATCTCCTGTTGCCCCACAGAAACAGCAGCAGGTCTGAGGGCAGGACTGCCTAGCTAAGGGAAGGGCAGTTCCCAGCAGCAGTGATTTCATGATGAGACACATTCAAGTGGTCCACGCTTACCCGTGAAAAGTCATTTTGCTAATTGCCAATGGCCTATTTTTCTTATGTGATGTTGCATGGCTTCATTTTCCAGGCTCTATGCACTAACTTGAATGTTCTTTGTGAGCTCTTTATTTGCATAAAGCAGAAACCAGACTTCTGTGGTTTCAGAAGAGTAAAAGGTTTGTTTCACATTCTGTTTAAATTAGTGGCCCAATACTTCCTAGAAAAAAAAAAAAAGAAAAAAAAAGCGCTCTAAAGGAAAAACATTGAAAGAAAAACGGTCTTCCAAGATCATAAATCTATCTGCAATCTATTTCTCACTTTAATATCTCACTATGGGAAGCAACATGTCTTAGACTCATAGGAATGAGCAGGTCTGAGCACTCTGGAAAATAAAAATGAAAACCACAGACTTGTGCATGTCAAGTGGCTGCTTAGGACTCTCAGAACAATGTCTAAGGAGACTAAAGTAGTCTGCCGTGGGGTTCTGGATTTGACGTGGTATTTTCTGGAGCATTCTGCTGGGTATTGAGCACATGCTAAGGTCAATTAAGGATACTCTGTTCCTACAGTGAAGCCTCTATAGCTCTTCTAGCTTAGGGAGATCAGCCTGGGGCTAATAGCAAAAGTACACACCTCCAGATCTGTGAAAGTTATATCAATAGAAGCACAGTCGTTTCAGTGTCACTGTATCTGATAACTCAGGGCAGTCTGACCCAACAGCTAGCTAGTTAAATAACGCAGGTTAACTAAAAGGCACACAGCAATAAGAGTCACTTAGAGTACAAAGGCATGGCAATTTGTAATCTCTAAATTAACTACAGCTTTAAAGTGTCTGAAAGTAGGCGTTCATTGCTGCTTTAAAGCTCTGTATTGCTATGCCATGGGAGGCAAGGTCTGGTCCTGGCTGTCACTAAAACAGCAGATTGGAAGACTGAAGACTCAAGGATTTATGTTACTTGCTACAAGGCCCTAGAGAAGGATGCGGGGCGCAGCCTGGGCTGGGCTGGATATATGAAGTGTTAACAGTGCTGGGTCGGCTCCTCGCAGGGGACGCATTGCTTTTCAGAGCCACATCTAGAGCCAGAAGCAGTACAGCTGTACCTGCTTCAGAAAAGTACTATGCCATCACAGCCCTTGGGGCTGCAATTCAGCCATCCTCCTCCTGGGACCAAGCTAAAAGACTGCTGCACAGGACTGCACCTTCCTACTTAGATGGCTCAGCTTCTTTGCAAACTCTTCAGCACCATGGTGTCTATTACATCCAAAAGACAAAAACAGACCAGAAAAACACCACATGCCGTCTACTGAGAGCTGCACAAAATACATATACCTGCCTTGGAAGGACATGTTAGTATGCAAAACTACTGCACATTTTCCTTTACTTGCTAACCCCAGAGCAAATCCCTGCTTCTGAAGAGAAGTTTCCCACCTATCCCATACCAGGTACATCAGAACAGTTCCTTTCCCTTACCTGAACATAATCCAAAACCATGCCTGCCAAGACCATGCCAAACCCAGCTAGGAGGTACGGCAGGAGCACCTGCAGGCAAATCGTGATGGCTGACTCTTCCCGTGACTTTGCCATGGACGCCTTCTCCTCAGCCAACAGCTTCTGCTGTGCGGGCAGAGAGACATCCTCTGCCTCCTGGCTGCCAAGTCTGCTCTCTCTGTGTTTACCCTTGCTCTTTGCTTTGTGCCTGGATCGCTCTCCATTTCTAGTTCTGCCCTCTTTTCTCCTCTGCCGAGCCTCCTCACCTTTCATGGTGGCTTTCTTGAATCAAGGAGTTTTTCTGAAAAACAAAGTCAGAACCAGTGAGATGATGAAAGGAGGTGCTGGGTGGGTCAGGGACTGGCGACCCTGGCAACTCCGCTCCATTTACCTGAAGGCAAACCACCACCTACCCCCAAAACCCTAGATGCTCTGCTTGACCCAGATGCTGGTGCTTAGTTTACCTTCGGTTTTGTGTCAAACCAATCTCTCCTTCCATTACTGCATCTCTCTTCCTGGGCCTGTGTTCACACTGGAGCACTCGTTGTGCATCCTGACTCCTACTCTGGGGACGCCTGAAAGGATGCGGAGGGTGCTGCAGGCAGCCTGCGTGCTGGACCCACCAGTTCTCATAAGGGGGTCACGAGAACTGAGGAGCCCAACAAAATCCAACCCTTTTTTAGGATCTGACATGGGGCAGTTCACACCCCGGCACCCTGCAGTCCAGCAAAAGGTGTAACTCACACCTAGCATAGCAGAGCCAGCTGCCAATTGCTCCCCAATATGAGGGCAATTCTTTAATCTGCCCTCCGATCTGAACACTTTTGCTTCCCCTCGCACCTCCTTTGACACACACACACACGGTACGTGACTCACCTACCTACACAGAACCTGCCGTGGCCCCTGCAGCATCCTCTGAGAAAAAAATAAACGCGCAAAATTGTTACCAGTTTCTCTCTCCTCTCGTCTCACCCCTCCTGCCTGGATCCTTCCCCATCGCCTCCCCCACAGAGGCTGACTCGTTCCCCAGGACGTGT